CTTAAAATTAGCCAAATATCTAAGATAGATACATGTACAAAAGATATACAAATTAAAACCATTTAAAAAGTGATAGATACCATAATTTGTCCTTGGCCGTAACTTCTACAACATTCAGAAATGATTGTGAAATTAAAACCTAAGATAAAAACTGTACACCATGTACTTTGAATGATTTACATTTTAGAAAACAGGCAGTCTTTCACTGTTAAACATTTAGTGTCTCTGGTGGGTTGAGGAGAGAAACACCATGATACCTGTTAAGTAGAAGAAAAAAAAGTTTAAGGAAACATTCATTGTGTGAAGGAGACAGTAATACATGTATCAGGAATTCAATGCTATTTCTCTCTGATGAGGTGGATGATTTTAGAACCACTGACTGATCCCCAAAACATACATCCCGGCCCTCTTCTTCCTACCATCTTCCCCCAAATGCAAAGGAAAAACATCATTAACTACAACCTTCTCCAAACACATGACTAAGAAAACGGCTGTGGTAGATTACAGTGCATTCCTTAATAAAAATGTCAAAGACTTCTGAACCACTGAAAAGCAAGTTCGGTATCCAATTCTTACTTTGAATTTTTGTACTTTTCTCTTATTGACTGTTGTGCATGCTGTGGTGCTTTGAGGTAGGTCTGGTGAAGGTCCATGAGACAAGGCTTAAGACTTTCCAAGGTGTATCCAGTCTTTCGCACTAATGATTCAGGCTACAGAAAAGGGAGTAGGAGAACCACTGAGTTTTGTTAGTAACAACACAGGGCAATGACTAGAGTTGGCCTTAAGTTTAACTTAAATTTCAGCACTGGTCTTTAACATTTCCATTTCTTGGGCCACTATTCCATCTCTTTTATATTGACTTTAATCCGTTTACTACTTTCCCTGCAGCAGGTGATATGGCCCAATATATTATACATGTATATTTGAAGAGTTTCTCCAAATGAGAACATCCAGACAACCATCAGTTCTATAGGACAATTTAACTTAACCTGGCAGTAGCATTTCAGTGAAGCAAGTGTGAAGGCAATTGTAGTACATACCCAACTTTGTCCTGTGACTGTGTAGAGTGCTAAATGAAAGGCTGCTCCAGCAATAAGTGATGGTAAATATTTGAGGTATGGGTCGGCATCTATCAAACTTAATTCTCCCAAAAACTGAAATGAAAAATACTTGAGGATCACAAGAGCTCTAGAATTCAAACATCAAATCCTTGCCTTTTGACCAGCCATGGAAAAACCCACAACCTCATCTTTAAACATACACACTAAATGTTTTTGCTCCATTTTTACCTTGTATTTTCCCTCCTTTAAACTTTTTATTAGCATGAATTAATTGTACAAAGCAGTTTCATTGTGATACTTTACATGTATGTATACATCCTCCTTTAATAACGTAAAACAACTCTTCCGACTACCATCTTCCAAGACTTTATCTGCAAAGCACTACTTAGTGTTTTCCCAACACAGTTGTCCCTATGCATCCAGGTGAAGAGTGTTTTCAGGACCCCTTACCCCTGCACATGGACACCAAAATCAGTGGATGCTCTAGTCCATTATATATAAACAGTGTACTACTTGTATACATAATCTCTCATATACTTTAAGTATCTAATAGCTACTAAATACAGATGTTACAGTTATGCTATAAAGGTTGTTTAGAGAATAATGACGAAAGTTTGTACATGTTCAGTACAAATGTGGTTATTTTTCCCTGAATATTTTCAATCATGTTGGTTGAATCTGTATATGTAGAACCCAGAGATAACGGAGGCCTAACTGCTATCTTTTGCTTGTGGTATACGGCAACATTAAACTAACCCTAGAATACTAAGTCTCTCAAAGCTGTATAAGGGTAGGGCTTGCCCCTAATTATAACCTAAGAATCTCCAACAAAATGAACTTACCATTGCTAAACTTTCAACTTTGCAGTTTGCAGGCTGCTGATGCAGAAAGTATTGGGTAAGAAACTGGTTTACTGTTGGTGCAGCTAAGTCAAAAGCAAGGACTTTCAAAACCAGATGCTCCATTCTTAGAACTTGTTTCTTGGTATAGGTATCATCTGTAATGTACACAAACTCTGCTACTTCTGGGGGGTATATTTCTTCAAACTTTCTACAATGAAAAGGTTAAATAGTAAGTTCTCCCAAAAGAGAAACAAGCTTCCTTGTCCTAATTCTGAAGTTCTGCCAGAGAATACATGGACTCCAAAATCCACTCTTCACCAACTGCATTTCCACTGATACATGACCATAATTTCTCCTACTAACTGCTAATTAAAAGGCTTAAATCAATGAGGACTTCCTAGTTTTCTCTCAATTGCAGTCAAAGGAATTGAAGAGGTGGGAAATTCTCAAGATGGGAGCAATACCAAAGTACACCAAGTAGCTGAAAATTCAGGACATAAACTGTAGCCAGTCTCCATGGTCATTCTAGAATCCAGATCTAAGAAAACTAATGTTCTAGATTCAAAAACAATTTCATCCTCAACCCCCCATACCATCATCCCTAAAGTTATCACTTGACTCTGCCCTGTGTGGTATTAAAATGTAACAGCTAAAAATGACAATTTCTTTTTCTATACAAAAGGTAGTGATGACTTAGAATCATACAAACCAAGTTGGACTTACGAGGCTAGCAGCATAGCAGCAGTGCCCACAAGCTGAAGCTTTCCTCTCAACACAGACATTGAAGAGAGGAATCGGTCAATGTAGTTCACAGCCAAGTGCAGGGTCTCATTTTGTAGTTTATATTCTTCTCCCACTTCAACCAACCAGTCCACAAGGATAGCCCTCATGCTGTTAGTGATGTCTGGCTGCTTCTTCATATAACCCACTTTAGGTTTACATTTAATCTGTTGAAAAAGTTTTGTAGTGTTAAGAGTGTTAAAATTAGGTCATTTTTCTTTATTAACAAAGTTGATACATGCTATCAACTTTTTTATCACATTAAAGCAATTCAGATATTTAAGCATTATTCTCTCAATTTCATTTCACCATATATATTATAAGTACAGTATACAAAATGGATTCAGAGAGCCTTTACCTCCATTTCCCTAAGGTATGTGTGAATATCCTCATGGTAGTCTGGTACTTCATTAGCACTCACTGGCTTTTCATCTTCTAATACAATTGACATATCCATAGTATGTGGTGATTCTGGGACAATTCAAAAGATATGATTAATTTTTCTATTTGGTTTAATAGCAAAAAAATGACTATCCTTGTAAGAAATCTAGTATTATCAAAGCATTTATTTCATGCAACTAAAAAGAATTCATGTCAAAATCCACAGAATATTTTACTCTGGTGTCTCTGTTCATATAGCTTTAGAATGCTTTTAATTAAAGGGAAAAAGAAATACTGAATCCACTAACAGGATTCAGTATTCTCTAAAAGTATCGTTCATCTTCCATGGGAGATTAAGAGCAGATTGGTACAGTGATTCTGTTAGGACACAGTACTTGAAATTCAAGTTTTGAGAAAATATCTAAGATTTGTCTTAAAAGATTACAGATCCCATAGTCTGACATATTCAAAGCAAAAATCAGGCAATAACTAGAATCAGTTAAAAGGTTTCTAATAACAAAGAAACTATGTTTGTTTTGGACAGTTCAAAAAGATAAATATGATAACTAGTATATTATTTTTTGAGGCAAATATCCATCATTTTTCACTTCAAAGATCACTTTGAGGTTAAAAATTTGAATAAAAAAATTTCTAAAGGACTTCCTGCTCTTCCCTCCCCTGCCACCAATGAGTAGAACTAAAATTAACATGGATTCGGTGAGCTGTCCAGTGACTCAAAAGCCCTCTGGTAAAGAAACAGCACAAAGTAAACAGAACTGTCTACAGCAGCTACACTATCAACTTGCAGAAGGGCAGCATCACTTTTTGATATGAGATGATTATTCAGACTTGTTTTACTGAAAGAGATTTTAAATAATCACAATATTTAAGACTGTATCCTCAAATAGTACTCTCTGAGATGGTATGTAAGAAAAGAGTCTTATAAATACAACTGAAATCTATTGTCCCAGCCAAAATAAAAATTCATGGAGTTGATTAAATAAGCATTCAAGAGCTAGTTAAACTGATGTGAACGGCAGTGTCTCCCAAGGAGTGTCAGGTTAGGATCTGGGTCTTTTGTAGGTCAGCAGGTCAAATGTTAGCCTTAAAATCTGAGATAAACCACACCCGTTCTAAGCTATTACAGTAAACCTTAAAGAGTCTTAAAATGCAAAATGTTATTAACCCAATCAAATATTATAATTTCCTTAATTTGACAAGATCTTCTTTAAAACTTACCAAAACTACCATCCATAGGATAATCAAGAGGTACCAGGGGTTTTCTTGTTTCGGGTAAAGCAAGAGCTGCATTAAAAGCCAGGACATCCTCACGCACTGTTGGTTTAGATTCAGCCGGCCTCTTTTGAGTCTGTTCTGCTTCATCCACATGAATGGTGAATGGAGGCTGTTTACTGTTTGCTGTCCAAGGAGGAACAGTAGCCACATGCTCATCATTTATTGGAAGATCCTTAAGCGGTGCAACCTAAAGGGAAAGTAATAACTGGCTTTGAGCTTGCTAAGTGGAGTTTTCCCTTCTTCCCCTTATGTGTCTCAGGCTTTGCTTTTAAACTAAATACTCTTATCAGGAAATTTTAACTTTCTGAGGTAAAGTCTAGACAAAGAATAGTTTGGGTAATCAAAGAAGGTGTGTTCCAATTTGTCACAGGCATTCCTACAAAATTGTAAATGGAACTGATTGGAATTACAAACTGATCAAGGCTACAAGCAGGGTGGAATGTCAGGCCTGTAGATGACAAGTTTAGGAAAAGAAAATAAAAATACTGATTCACCACTTTCGCCCCAGGGTGGAGCAACAGAGCAAATTCAGCTAAAATGGCGGAATTTACTAAAAGCAAAGTATTTCTTCACACCCTTTCCTAAAGTAGAGGTAATCACTTAAGTAGATGAGGGGAAACGGATCTGGGTCTTTGGGCGGTGCCTGGCGTCTGAAAGCGGAGAGGAAAACAACCGAGCTGGGGCAAAGATGCGCTCTGTTGTGGGACCTGTTTTGACCCCAATTGCGTGAAGAAAGATGCCTTCAATGGAGAGCAGATAGGCAGCATGACTGCAGCGTCGGTAAGAAGTGCAATGCTAAGAATAATGCAAGACGCAGCTACAGCGGCAACCTGACCGGAAACTCAGGTCAAACCCGAAACCCCCTAGAAAGCACAGAGGATGCTTTCTGGCCACTCTCCTCTGCTGGCTAAGTTCGGGCCCACCTCGCGCTCAGCCCACTCTTGCAGACACCTCGCATCCCTTTACCCGTCGCGTCTTGGGCCTCTGCGGCGGCGCGGGACCCCGCGCGTTCCCGGTCTTCAGTACCGCCAGAGCGGCCTGGGTCCGCGGCTGCTGGGCGGGTGCTGCCTTCTCCGGGTTGATGTTCTCCTGGTCTTCTTGGTGCCCGGTCTGCTGCAATGTTAGCAGTGCCGAGCCCGCCTCGCGGGCCGCAGGCCTCGGCGCTGAGCTGCCTAACATCACTGCTCCCGGGGGCGGGCGGCGGGATCAGTCAGCCGCGCCAAGCAGCGTGCACTCCGCCCAGCCGACCAGTTGCGCCGATGCCGCCGCCGAACGCTCCAGCCGTGCGCCCACTGCAGCCCGTGCCAGCCTGCCCACCCGCCCGCTCAGCCGGCTCCGGCCCGTGCAGGACGCAATGCTGATCGTGGAGGACCAAGAGCTACCCGAAATGTAGCGAGCTGCCCGCCGGTGCGGCGGCTGTTCATGCAGTTCAAGTATCCCGCGACTATTGAAATAGACCAATGAAAACGGCCGAGGTTTGTGACGTCACTCGAAGCGACAGGGTCGCAGGCGAGTGAAGGCGGCCACGAGGGGCGGGGCGGGGAAACGTCGAACCGCGGCGGGAGGACAAACGCCTAAGCGGAAGGGTGGGGGATGCGACTTTAAACTGAGCACCGAGCGGTCCGTGGGCTCCGGGCTAGGGTTGTGTCTAGGCTGTTTGGACAAACACTGCCGAGCGGCCGCCCCGCCTTTGAGCCCACTGAGGCCGCCGAAGACCTTCGGTTAAGTCAACTCTGACTACTTTCCAAGATCTAAAATGACTTAACTAGTTTTGGTCAAGTAATTCAGTTATCTCCAATTCTCAGTTTTCTAATTAGGAGAAATAGTATCTACGTGTCATACGGTTGTTAGAATTAATTTGCATATCTCATTTGCCATGCTGTTCACACAAGCAATGGTAAACATCTCCCTTTTGTCTATTACAGTAGATAGAAATTGTGTCATGCTTTTTTGGGGGTGGGGGAGGGGTGTTGGGGGTTGAACACAGCCTAGCACATGCTAACCATGTGTTTTACCACTGAGCTACATCCCTAGCCCAGTCGTATGTTTTATTTTCCCTAATGAAGATGCATCAATTCACGATACCACCTTTATCTACTGATAATATATAACTGAGTAGTGTATCACAAGGAATTCAAATACTCATTTTTATTTTTTTTCCCTAAACTGTGGCACCCACCAAAAAAATACACAGCGATCTAGTTATATGTTCCATTTAGAAATGAGAGTATTTATAATAAAAACGGACTGGAGGAAGAGCTCAGGTAAGCATGTGCAAGGATCTGGATTAATCCCAAGCACCTTCCTCCCAAATCAATAAATATGGTAAAAAAAATGACTATCAAAATAAAACTCAACCGTATGTGTCTTTAACAAATTTTTACATTTAATATTTAAGACTTGCACATAAAATGACATCGAGAATCGTTTTCTGCAAAATTCATGAGTTTACCCTTCTTGAAAATAAAGAATAGCTTATTTTCCATTATCTCTATGCCATTTAAAAACTCCTAAATAAGATATTCCCCTGAAATGAGTAAATATGAATTAAGATTAATGAACAAACTTCTATAGCTTCAAAGTCTTATTTTCCTTCATATAAAACAAAAAGAAGTTAGTGGAGACTAGGGCGAGAAAATCTTAGATGCCCCCATTCTCTTGTAGTTCTCTTCTGTAGCTTGACTGGTTGTGGCATATCCAGTTAAGATCCCTTGTGTCTGAGCAAGCTCTGCTAACTTTTCGGCCACAATTTAAAGCACTAATCCAAGTTAAGCATTTCACAAACTTCAGCAGGGTCATAAAATGTCACCAAATAAGAAAGAAGTAAGTTGCAAACAAATTTCAACTCCTAAAAAAAAATAATTGGTAGATAGGTTACTACATTGGTTGATGACACAAAGGAATCAGGAACTTGGGCTCTGTTCCCAGCTTTATAAAATACTAGCATGTCCTCTTAATAACATTAACTTCACTGAAAATCAGTAATGATTTGACAAACTTATAGAACAGTTCTGAAGATCAAATAATATGTAAAAATAAGAAATGCATTTTCAAGCCTATAGTTTACACATTGTAAACTATATATGGGTCTTATAAAAATTGAATCTTTTTATTTTCCAAATGTTTCCCAATTTATAGAAATTAAAATATCCACTTGCCCCAAATTTATTAATATCTAATCATTCCATTTGTGTGTTAAAAATTAAAATTATCTTTACTTTTGTTATTTTTTTAACCACTACAATAGAGTATCTTTATTTTTATTCCTATTTGTCAAAAGAAACAGAAGCATTACATAAAAGTCATATCTCAATTTTTTTTATTAGTTTTGTTTTTTGAGACAAGGTCTTGTTATATAACTCAGGCTACCCTTGAACTTGGTGTGTAGCCCAGAAAGCCTCCCAAGTACTGGTATTACAGGTCTGTACCACCATGCCCAGGTGTGGTAAAGCAAAACAAGTTTTAAACTGCAAATTGGCACAGCACATAAATAAAATTTTGCCAATATTACAAAGTTACCCTGTGGGCTAGAGGTGTGACTCACATGGTAGAGTGCCTCCTTAGCAAGCACAAGGCCCTGAGTTCAAACCCATACCACCAAAAAAAAAAAAGAGAAGAGAGAAAAATTACCTTATAATTACACTTCAACTTTTTGTTGTTTTGTTAAACAGAACATGCAGCATCAAAGAAAGCAATCAATGCATTTTGGTCATAATTGTCAAGAATTTCCAATAGAAGAGGTACTTTAGTTTTTACATTGGTGCCTTTGAACTTAAACTTATCAATGAAAAGATCGGTGATCATGCCTAAAAAGAAAAATGTTATTTCTTTTCACTGATAAGTTCTTTTAAAGATATAATGTTAATAAAATATAAACTATTAATTCAGACAATCAACTGCTGGCAGTTTTTGAATTTCTATTGATACATATATCTCAAGTGGTTACTTTTCCACTTAAAAGCTTTATCTAATCTATTCTTAAAAGCTTTATCTAATCCACCTATGTGTTGAGCATTCTTAGATCATAAAGATAGTACCGTGTGCAACATACAACAGGTCTTAATGTATACTGCTAACAGAATTGTTTCTCTTGAACTGTTCCTTTCTTTGTCCCTACCACCTTTCTTCCTTTATGTTCCTTTCCTCTTTTTTTTATAGTTTGTAAAACATTCACCTTCTTACCACCAAAGCAAAACAAGTTTTAAACTGCAAATTGGCACAGCACATAAATAAAATTTTGCCAATATTACAAAAGCATTTTTTATATTTTATAATAGCAATAAAACCTGAAAATTCTTTGTGTGGAAAGTCTAAATTACTACACTTCATCGATTATATTCATCTCATACCACATTTCTTCACATACACACACATATTCATCAGTTTTAATTCATTTTTAAATTTTTACTTACAGTTTGTCAAGTAGAGCATGTGCCTAGCAAGCACAAGGCCCTGAATTCAAACCCAAGTGCCATCAAAAAAATTAAAACTAGCTTGGCAAAACACAAATATTCTGTACAGTAAGTTGGCAATACTGGTTCATAGCTATTATAATCTTTGTCTCTCTCTGCCTGGCTTCTTTTACATGGTCCATGACAAACAGACACTAACCATAGAGTCTTTCAAGATGTGCAGGTTGCTTTTTGTATTCTTCCTGTAGACGGTCTGCCTCTTCTAGAATACAGCGATATTCTGGGATCAAAAAGTTTGTGTTTCCCTCATGAACCTGCAATTCCTTATTTAAAGTTAAAAAACAGAAGGATCTTAATGGTCAAAATTCAACCCAAAATAACATTAAAGTATAATTTTGGAAATTTCATTATTTAAAATAATGATCATGAATCTTTAATACCTGTACTTACTTTTAAAGCATCAATTAATTGCACTTTCTTGGCCAAAAGCAACTGGTACTCCAGCTTTGGGTGGATTAACTTTAAAGTATGTTTGATTGAAACTTCATTTATCTCTAGAAGAAGTTGGCCAGGTACAATTAGATAAATCACTTTCATTAGAAACATTATTGTAACAACTACAAAAAATCAGAAAGAATGATAGACTTTTCTTTTTCTTTTTTTACCATATGATATGTTGAGGTTAATTTTCCTTTTTGTAGCTTCTTTAGAAAGGACATCTTTTAGGATGGATATTGTAGAAATGTTGTCAGACTTAAAAACTCCTTGTCCTTTTCTATAAAATTAATATATTTTAAAAAGAAAAGCTGTAGCAAAAGTTTCTCCATAAATACATATTTTATAACTAGTACTTACTGTTGAGATTGCATTTGATTCTAGATTTCTTTTTGTATCATTAATATAAAGCATACTTAAACATGCAGTTCTTTCCTACTACATCAATTCGGCTTTTGAACTCATGAAACTAAAGACACACCTCTAAAAGATCACAATATATATTATTATTACTTAAAACCATCTTTTTCCTCATTGTCATTAATATTTGCAGTAGCTAAACTCTTATATAGAAAATGCATTTAGAATTGCTTACTTACATTTACAAGTAAGCATTTTTTATGCAATCACACAAATTACAAATGACTGTATGCTTCATCCTTAAAAGAAATCTGATACCAAACCTGAAAGAGTGACATCTGTTATTTTTCCATGCTCACCATCAACTGCCATTGCTTATGGCCCCAGGACCTTATTTTTCTTTAGGAGACCCTCCTTCTCTTCTCTCCTGCTTTTCAGAGGCAATGGCCTCAGTTTCTGGGACTTCAGGAATAAACATTTAGCAGTATATTGCTTATCCCTGACCACCCGGTTCAAACTAGACAATGATACTCAATCCTGAGACTTTTACTGGACCTAACAGAAAACAGAGGCTCTATGGCAGCTGAAAAAGATAAAAGGCTGGATTCCAGGAGCTGGTAGTGGCCACTATGTCACTACATGGTAAAAAATCAAATACAGAACTAAGCAATGGAAAGAGCTAACATATGACATCAGTTAAACCACTCATCAAGTTTTGCCTAACACAAATTATTGCTAGGCTTTTAAGTTATGTGAACCAATAAATTCCTTTCACTTGGGTAAACCTGCTTGCATTTGGTTTCCTTTTATGATGACCAAAATTTCCTAATTAATACACACTGTCTTTCATGTATTCCATGTTGCCTTTTCATTTGGTTTTCATAAATACACACACACACACACACACACACACACACACAATCATTTATGTTGACTAGTTGTAGCAAATGCTAATTGCCTGTTCTAGAAAGATGAATAATAGAACCTTCCTATTTTTATCCCAACTATGTTTAAATAATCATGATATTTCCACTAATCTTTCCTCTTAACATATGATATTTAGTAAACATACAGTGCCAGGCAATATGGTATGACTAACATGGTTTATCTTCTTTTAATCATCACAATTCAATAAAAATAAATGTTACTATTTCTGTTCTTCAGAAATGAAAACTAAAGTTCAGGGAGTTAAGCAACCAGCTAAGGTCACAGATCTGATGAGTCAGAGCCAAGACTCAAACCAGAGCACAAGTTCCTATACTACCTCCAAATATGTATTTTTTATTTGGGAACCTGAAAAACACTTATTGAGGACTTACTATGTGCAGAGTCATGTGCTAGGTACTTGAACTATAGTACAAAGATAATTAAAAACAGACTCTGAGCTGGGCACAGTGCTGCACGAGTTTGAGGCCAGCCTAGGATAAGTGGCGAGACACTGTCTCAAAAAATCAGATTCTCCTCATAAAGACACAGTCTAACTTAGAGAGACAAGCTTACATAAAAATTATTATATACTTCAAGCAAATAAGTACCAAAGACAGAAAAGAATAAAATGTTATGAATGTTATGAGAGGGCTAGGGGTGTAGCTCAGTGATAGAGCACTGTCAGCATGCACTGAGGCCCTGGGTTCAATCCACAGCATTGAAAAACAAACAGAAAGCTACGAAAAGAGAGGAAGTCATATTTCAGGTTTCAGAAAAGTAGCTATTTAAGTTGGGCCTTGAAAAATAGCATGCAATATGCATTAGAATCAGTATTAATATTCAAATCAATTTGGGAAGGACTGCCACCATTGTAATGTCTTTATATTGGTGACTAGAATATACAGAATATATTTGCCATTTAATCAAGTGTTTTACAGCAATAAAATTTTATAGTTTTCTTCATGAAGCTTTTGCATATTTCTAATGACAAATATTACTACAGCCTTTATGTGGACATTCATTATTGCTATTCTGAAAGGGTCTTTAAAGCTATTTTCTAACCAGTTATTGCTGGGAATTTAGAAAAGGTATTGATCCCTGCATATTCATCTTTATTAATCACTTTTCTAAACTCAGTAATTCTACTTATTTTTCAATAGATTCTCTTGAACACTTTAGGTTTTAGTTATAGGGTTTGGAAATTATTCCTGTTTTGAAAGAATGAAAAACTTAAGATATCCCATGTACATATGACAAGAGTTGTGAATCAGTCGTAAGTTTGACTTACCTGTAGATACTTTCCAGTTGTGTATCCAGAAAGGTGTTCTGAAAGTAAAATGTCACACTTTCTCCTGCTGGAGGTTTTTCGGGAACTTCAGGCAGGCAAAAAACCACCCAGGAGTGAACTTCAGCAAAACTGAACTGGCCTGTTAGAGTCAGTGTATTCATGGGTCTGTAACACAGGCATGTGTTTATTTGCTTGACTATGTGAAAGTAGTATATGTGCATATTTACAAGCAGCATTTCACAACAGTAGCTAAACAAATATTAATGTTTTATCAAATTAATCATATCAAATAAATGAACATTTTAATTTTATGAAAAAAATGTAATGCTACAAGCATATAAATAGCTTTTTTTCCATGATAATATGCTTTACAAATAAAATTCAGTTTATTTAGATTTCTTTCTTTCTCTCTTTTTCTTCTTTTGTCTCACTAAGTAGCCCACGCTAGCCTCCAACTTGAGATCCTCCTGCCTCAGCCTCCTGAGTGCTAGAAGGCATACGCCATCATGCCCAACTACATTCTTTTAAGTTTCATTGAGTATTTCTACTGTAAAGACTATCAAACACACTTACACATGAATTCCCTTAGGGGAAGAACCAGCATAATGTGGAGCAAAGAACTGGGCCTTTAAGTAAGGCAGGAATAGATCTGAAACCTTGCTGAATTATTTACTAGCTGTGTGCCAGTAGGCAAGTTAGAGAATAGCTTTTTTCTTGCAGGGATATGGGATAATCCTTTCTATCTTGCAAAAGCACATAATAAAGTAACAAGGGGGAAAAAGGTTGAAAAATAAACCAACACCAGGCATGATGATGTGACACTCACCTATAGCACTTAGGAAGCTGAGGCAGGAGAATCAAGTTCAAGGCCAGCCTGGGATACATAATAGATTCTATTTTGAAAATATAATTAAAATAAGTTTAAAATAAATCAAATGGATAATCAGCAAAAACTGAAGAAATATAAAGTATATCAGATGAAAAGTTCAGAAGGAACTTCAATAAGATATAGAATTAACGAATCAAATAGCTGGAAGTATCTTTTGTTCAGATCAGTCCTCTCATTTGCAGATAAAAACCCTAAAATCCAGAGCAATTACATCACTTCCCCCAAATCCCATAGGAACATATTATAACCCAAGTCTCTGATTCGCAGTTTGCTGTTCCTTCTAGTACAGCATGCTGCCTCCATCCATGCTTAAGCAGGAAGTCACATCAAAAAGAATCTATGTGGACCCTTGGTATCCAAGTGTATATGGTTCCAAGGAGACTGCCTGTTGAGTAAACACCACAAATACTCAGAATGTAAAGAATTCAGTGCTGTACTGTGGATGCTTGATTCATTTTTCCCATAATGCCAGCCAACTTCTGCTAAAGACATGCCACCTTTCGACAAATCTCAAATTTTCACTTCACTGTTTAAATTAAGCACATTATATTTTCTTTTTGGCTTAGGAAGATTACCACAACTTTTAGTATTTGGGTACCACTTGCTTTTTTGGGAGGCATATTTTCACATAATTAAGGGCAGAGAAACACTGAGCATATCACACAATGTTTTAAACACTAGTGAGGGTAACACAGAACTGAGAGCTTCTCTGCATCCACTAAGCTGCATAATGTGTAT